GAAATCTAAGTGTCAGCATCCCTCACCATCAGCCATGCTGTCTGGGGCTGATGGGGACTGTAGTCCAATGTCATCGGGGGGGGGGTGTCAGTTTTCCTGTCTCTGGTATGTAATGTTCTCTTGTGGGAGGGATAGGGGGTGGCTGGTTCTCCAGCTATTGTTGTTGTTTAGTCGTTTAGTCGTGTCCGACTCTTCGTGACCCCATGGACCAGAGCACGCCAGGCACCCCTGTCTTCCACTACCTCCCGCAGTTTAGTCAAACTCATGCTGGTAGCTTCGAGAACACTGTCCAACCATCCCGTCTTCTATCGTCCCCTTCTCCTTGTGCCCTCCATCTTTCCCAACATCAGGGTCTTTTCCAGGGAGTCTTCTCTTCTCAGGAGGTGGCCAGAGTATTGGAGCCTCAGCTTCAGGATCTGTCCTTCCAGTGAGCACTCAGGGCTGATTTCCTGCTTTAGTTGGAATTCTTTCATTGCAGAGGGTTGGACTGGGACCCTTGGTATCCCTTCCAACTCCACAATCCTATGATTTTATGTTCTGAACGAACTGGCATGAAGTATGAAGTTCACCTGGCTGTCTACAATATTGTAATGATATTTTTAATCCTGTTGTTTTTAACTGCAGTCTTGTTATTCTTGTTGTGGGTACAGGGTAAATGTTGTTGGTGTTTTTTTGGTGGGTTTTAATGGCATTTTAATTATTCGTGTCTCAAGCCACTGTGACCTATAATCAGAAAAGTTGGATTTTACAAGAAATTAATATCGGTAAATAGTCCTTGCACAAAGTCTTTTCCAGAGAGTCTTCTCTTCTCATGAGGTGGCCCAGGTATTGGAGCCTCAGCTTCAGGATCTGTCCTTCCAGTGAGCACTCAGGGCTAATTTCCTTCAGAATGGACAGATTTGATCTTCTTGCAGCTATTACTGTACAACAACTGCAATCCCTGACAACTGACCATTCCAGTTGAGGCTGGTGGTCCAACTGAAGTCCAACAACAACTGGAGGGCCTTAGGTTCCCCATCCCTGTTCTATGTGGTGGAATGGCAGAGGGTAGAGGATTTCCAGAGATCCTTTATTTGAAAGATGGTCCAGTCCAAGCCCAGTCTAGATATGAGATGAGAGAGAGGGGCCTTGAAGTTGCCTACCCACCATTAACACCCGGAAAGCAGACACATGCATGCACAAACACACATAATATGAACTCTTTGCAAGTAAATGGCCCAAATTCAGGCTCAGCAAAATGGCCACCTCTGGGAGAAGGAAAGCCTTGCCTCTTCCTTTCTCCCTTTCCTGCTTTATAGCATTGAACATTTCTTTTCTGGCAAACACATTATGTCAGCTACGCCAGTTCATTTGTCTAGGGGCAGCTCCACTTTATCTGCCTGGAGTAAAAAGAATTGATGAGCCTGGGTAGATAAAGTAAATGGAAACTCAGGACTTTGTCCAATTTGCTCTACTTTGATAGATGTTATAGCCCAACAGTGGCCAATGTAACATGATTTGCCATTTGTATTACAAAATATTACACATTAGGGAATCTTCCCTCACCACCACCACAAAAAAGTATTGGGGGAGTCCATGCTTGGCTGTTTGTGATCCAGTCCCCCAAGTTCTTCTGATTTAGAGAAGAACGTGTACGATTCTCATGCTCAGCAAAAGATTAATCTTTGAATGATTGTTCAGACAATGGAGGAAGTCCTGCCCCAGGATGGGAAGTTAAACACCTTTGTGGATTGGATTGGGGGATCTCACCTTACTTGTGCATGCCGCTTCATATTATTTATTTACTCAAAATCTTTGCTCATGTTTTCCCCTTCCCTCTCATCAAAATGGAGTGGTTTACCCACAATATAAAAGAACCAGCATGAAGTTCAAATACCTTCCACTTCCACTATCAGAAGTAGTATGTCTCTGAATACCAGTTGCTGGAAATCACAAGTGGGAAGAGTGAGGTTGTTCTCATGTCTTGCTTTCTGACTTCCTATAGGCATCTGATATGTATGTATTTTGTATACCGCCCTTCATTCAAAGATCACACGGCAGTTCACAACATAGCATGGTGGTTGGCCATTGTGAGAACAGGGGGCTAGATTAGATGGATCCTTGGCCTGGAAGGGCTCAGGCTAGTGGCCCATCTAGTGGACACAGGTGGCACTGTGGGTTAAACCACAGAGCCTAGGGCTTGCCGATCAGAAGGTTGACGGTTCGAATCCCCACGACGGGGTGAGCTCCCATTGCTAGGTCCCTGCTCCTGCCAACCTAGCAGTTCAAAAGCACATCAAAGTGCAAGTAGATAAACAGGTACCACTCCGGCGGGAAGGTAAGCGGTGTTTCCATGCGCTGTTCTGGTTTGCCAGAAGCGGCTTAGTCATGCTGGCCACATGACCCAAAAGCTGTACGTCGGCTCCCTCGGCCAATAAAGTGAGATGAGCGTCGCAACCCCAGAGTCGGCCACAACTGGACCTAATGGTCAGGGGTCCCTTTACATTTACCTTTAGTGACCCATCTAGTTCAGCATCCTGTTCTCACAGTGGTCCACCAGATGCATGTGGGAAACCATACACTGTGCCCATAAAGTGGTTCTGAAGTTTTCAGAATTCAGTTGCCATTATTTCACCTGGTGGATCTCATTCAGACCCTTGTCAGCTTCTCGAAGACATTTCCTGGTTGCTATTTCATTTCCAAGTTCAGTTCAATGTGTCAGTTCTTTAACCTGCCTAAATGGCTTGGGAGCCGAGCACCTGAAAATGCAGGGTCTACTTCAGCACCAAGCTACCTTTACTCTATGTTCATCTCCCAATGCCTCGTCCGTCAGGTGGATTCCCACCAGAGAGAAGGCTTTTTTCAGACACTCAAGTAATGGAATGTCCACCTCAAGGAGGCTCCCTTGGGATCACAAGAAGAGCTATGCTGGATCAACCAAAGGCCTATCCAGTCCAGCATTCTGTTCTGGTTCCCTATAGAAAGCCCATAAGCAGGACACGAGGGCAATTATGCCTCTGAATACCAATCACTGGGTATCGCAGGTGGGCAGAGTGCTGTTGTGCTTATGTTCAGCTTGTAGGCTTCCCACAGGAACAGGATGCTGGAATAGATGGACCACTAGACTGATCCGAGGATGGGGGGAATGGTATGGATCTCTTCCATGAGCTAAATTGGTGGCACTTTCTGAAATCTGATGTGTATCCCCATTTTGTGCATTTGGGTGAAGGGGAGTCCCAGGGCAGCTGGGGGAGGGGATGCCATGTGTGTATTTGTATGTGTGTGTGTGTGTGTGTGTGTGTGTGTGTGTGTAGCTGATCTATCCAGGATGCTGCAGTTGCTTCCCCATTCTTAATTTGCTCAGTAGTCTGGAACACTAAGAAGAGGGAAGTTTATGTATCCCCAAACTCAAAGCTATATAGGTTCATCGACCCCAAAATAAACATACCCCATATCATACACTTGCACAATCACAACAAAAATAGTTGCTCAAAGTTATCATGCTCCCAAAATTCTCATAAATGCATGATGACATTGCATAGTCTTCACACACACAGTTGTATTTATTGATTTGTGGTTTACTTTTTGCTTCAGACATCTCTAAATGTAATACATAAGTTAAATGATTTTTGCGCTTAAAATACTGCACTTTTTTGTGTTTCTGCTAATAATTTTCTATTTGACCAGGAGGAAAAGCTTAAGCAGTGATACTGATGTAGAATAAATGTCCATATCTTCATGTGAGGGATGCTGGAGGATACAGGTAACCTAGAGAGAGCCTTGTGTTCTATGGAACATTGGTCTGGTCTGCACTATACACCTAAAGTACTATCATGGAAAGCGTAATGCTGGTGGTCAACAAAAGAGGTTTAAAAACTCTTTCAAGGCAAATCTAAAAAAATGTAGTATAGACATCGACAACTGGGAAACATTGGCCTGTGAGCGTTCCAATTGGAGAACAGCCTTTACCAAAGGTGTCAGGGGCTTTGAAGGTGCTGAAACTCAGAATGAAAGGGTGAAACGTGCTAAGAGGAAGGCACGTTTGGCAAATCCACACCGTGATCAACTCCCACCCGGAAACCAATGTCCCCACTGTGGAAGGACGTGTGGATCCAGAATTGGCCTCCACAGTCACTTACGGACTCACTGTTAAAACCGTGTTTATGGAAGACAATCTTACTCGGCTACGAGTGATCGCCAAAGAAGAAGAAAAAGAAGATACATCTAAAGTACTATCATGCCACTTTAAACAATCTTGACTTCCTGCACAGTATTCTGGGGATTGTAGTCTGCTAAGGGTGCTGAGAATACTACATCCACTGTCTGATGTAGGATATCTCTGAATACCAGTTGCTGGAAAGTAACTGGGAAAGTGCTTTTGTGCTCATATCCTTTTCAGTGCTTACCATAGACATCTGGCTGGTCATTGTGAAAAGAGGATGCTGTATTAAATAGGTCTTTGGTCTTACCCTGCAGGGCTCTTCTTATGTTCATGCCACAACAAGGGCTGCTTGTTTTGCCTCTGACCCGACTGCAATGTACGCAAGCCTCATGCCTCCAACTCATCACATTGGAATCATTACATTTTATAAGCAATGAAAGTGGAGTGTGCTGCAGCTACATGATTCATGCTTAATGTTCCACAATAATTCTGTTGCACAGCTGGAAAGAGAACTTGGATAACCTGGTCATGCCATCAGCAACGGACCGTGCATCCTTCAAAAATGTATATTAAATGTATATTAATGTATATTAAATGTATATTAAAACCACCCAGTGTTATGTAATGTTGACCCAGTTATCCAGCACCGCTGATCAGGGATGCACAGAGACGCCATTGTGAAGTCCGTGAGCATTTTCTGCATGAATATATAAGCAGGATCGAACATATGCATCAGATTATACACAATGCATCAACCTCTCTTATGTTTTTCATTATTCTTCCCCATTGCGGCGACCATCCCCAACAACAGAAATTAGACAACTGCATGGACCAATTAATATTTGTTTTGAGGAATTTGCTCTTTCAAAACTCTATGAACACCAGAATCTTGCAGGTAGTGCAACAGTCTTATGGGCAGGAATTTGCACTGTTGGTGAAGCCATATTGGTAACTGCATAAGAGAAAAATGAAAGGGTTGGGTTTGTGGTACGGTCCACTTAAGAGCATACCATTCAGAATGTGAAGACAGGGGAGTAATGGCAGGTCTCATTATTCTCCCAGCAAGAAACCCCCCACAAAACATGTAACGTTGGATCATGCAGGAGAGCAGTTTGAGCTTAGCCTGGCTATCACAGTTGGTTAGAGAGTGGTGCTGATAACACCAAGGTTGCAGGTTCAATCCTCATATGGGACAGCCACCTATTCCTGCATTGCAGAGCTTTGGACCAGATCAGTGGTTCCCAATTAGCTAATTAATGAGGACCCCCTATTTCTCAAAAGCCAAGCCACAGATTCTGACATATTGTGATGTCTGAAACTGGAGGACATGCGTGGAGATGAGCGAAGGAGCACTTGTTTCACTTGGGCAGTGTCAGGCAGCAGAGGAAACATCCCTCATGCCAGTTTGCCAGGAACAGGTAAGACAAGGAAAAGTCCTCACCATCTGCTTTTTATTCAATATTTACAGAGAGATGCTTGGAACGCAGCCTCTTGGAATAATGGTGTTGTCCAGAGTGACTCTCCCCCCCCCTTTCCCCACTTTCTCATTCATCACCTTCTCCCCTACAGGTGGTGCTGAGGACCCTTTGCTTCTGAGCCCTTTGCTCTACTACTTTCAAGGCTTGCCAGCTTCTGGGAGGGGGGGTCTGGAATGCTTTCTAAAGACACTGTGTCTGTCAGCTGTTGTCCTCCTGGTGCTTCCTCTCCCTCCTCCTCCTCTCCCATTATTTCCCAGTTTTCCCCCTCTTTTGCCTATGAGCTGTGACCTCCCTCAAACCGCTGTTGTAATTCTGAACTGTCTTCTTCTCTGGAAGGGTCAGGCTGTGGAGGCGGTCTCCACCATCCTTCCTCTGCCCAGTCCCTGTCAGGCGGGTGAGGTGCATGTAGATCAGGAGTGGGGAGGAGGAAAGGAGGAGTCATGGAGGTCGGGTGGGTGGGGGAGGAGAGGAATTGGAGTCACCACTATCGCATGGTTTGAGTGGGAGGGGATGGGGACGCGGGAGCGTACGAAGTGCGGGGCAGAGAGGGCCGTCAGCCCTGAGTGCCACTGGGGGGGTGACAAGATGGCCCCTGCCTCCCCCCAGCTATAGAGCGGCTGAGGGCATGCACAGTCAGTATGGGCACTGCTCGCGTGGCATCCATACAGGCGTTCGTATGAGCAGCCGCACATGCGCACTCCGTATGGGATGCCGTTTGCGCAGCAGCCCATATGCTCGTCATGCAAGTGGCAGTCCATATGGATGCCCAGATGGATGGCGCAAGCGAGCGGCAGCTCATATAGATGCCATGTGCGCGGCATCCCATACGGAGTGTGAATGTGCAGCATCCTGTACGGAGTGCACGGGCTGCTGCGTGTGCACACTCCGTACAGGATGCCGCACATGCACACTCTGTACGGGATGCCACCCGGACGTTGTGCGTGCACCACTGGACAGTTCGCCCCGCCCCTCGATGTCCTGCCCTGAGTGCCAGAGAGAGTTCCTCCACCACTGTGGGGATGGGCGGGTGCATCAAGCCACTGTCAGTGGGGTAGCCAGTGGTGGCAGCCAGTGAAAATGCACGTCCACTGTGGCTGCTGCTGCTTTCCTGCTGACTGAGAAAAGCTGCTCTGCCTCAGTGCCAGGGGAAGATAGTGCCATGGTGCTGTCAGGGACTGGGCAGAGGAGGAATGGTGGAGACCGCCTCCCCCTCCTGACCCTTCAAGGGAGGAAGAAGAGGAAGACAGTATAGATTGTCAACAGGGGTTTGAGGGAGGTCACAGCTCAGAGGCAGATGAGGGGGAAAGTTGGGAAATAATGGGAGAGGAGGAACAGGCAGAGCCAGACCAGCAGCTGGCTGACATGTTGTCATTGGAAAGCATTCCAGACCCACCATCTCCCAGAACCCGGCGAGCCTTAAAAGTAGGAGAGCAAAGAGCTCAAAGACAGAGGGAGCTTAGCGGCGCTTAGTGGATGATGATGACAAATGAGGTAGTGGGAGAGAAAGGGGTGGAGATTCGCACAGGAGATTCACTCTATTATCCAAGAAGCTGGGTTCTATAGCCTCTCTCTGTAAAGATTGAATTAAAAAAGGAATGTAAGAAACTTTTACTTGTCTTTATACTTTCCTGGGCAACCAGCCGGGAGTCATTGACAGCGTCCTGACAGGTGCCTTGAAGTGAGGGTAATCAGCTGTCCTGTTCTCCGTCAGCATGAGGGGAAGGCAGCGCTTTGCAGTTGGCTGCCCTGGTCTCCCTCAGTGTGAGGGAAGACAGTTCAGACCAGCAGCACTATTGGCTGAGATCATCGTGCCATATTGGTAGTGCCTTGAATTCAGCTGCCCTTTTCTCCCTCACGCGAGGAGCGATATGTTACAGTGTATTGCCGGGTCAAAATCGTTATCGCGGTGTGATTTCAAAACCAATTTTGGCAGATATATTGAAAAAACACACAGCACTAAAACAGACCATGAACTTTGTGATATTGCCACGCAAAAGTGACCAAAAAAAAAAAAAATAGTTGGGGGGAGGAAAAGAATGGGGCCTCGGACCCCCTGGCATTGTTCCACAGACTCCCAGGGGACCTAATTGGGAACCACTGTACTAGATGATCTCCAACTACCAAATTCTATTATTCTTTCTCACACAATAGCTTTATATATGCAATTGAGTTTTCAAGTATGTGTGGTTGTTTCCAAAGTAGTGCTACATGATTGTTTTAGCAGCGCAAAAACATTCTGCTTGTGCAATGGAATGTTCTCCCAATCTCTTCCCCTTGCACACTCCTTAAATTTGTTCTAGGTGTTCTCCCAACCCCCAGGAGCAGATTTGGGGAGGGTGTAGAGGTACACAGGGGGAGGAGAGTCCCATTGTACAAGCGAAATTGTTTCACCAATGAGATGCATTAGTTGAATACTGTCCATAATTTGGGGCCAGTATATCCTGAATTGTGGGCAGTTTCGGGGAGGACTAAACCCTATGCTTTTCCATCAATTTTTAAAACAGTTAAGAGTAGGGGTGAGCAAATCAGCCCATTCCATTTTCCATCAGTTTCTCATTTTTTCCAATCTTAAGTTCAATTCTCCCCAGTTTCACATTAGTTTGCATTAAAAACAAATCATCATGAAACGTCACCAACATTTTAGTGTGAATTCCCCCACATATAATCATTTTTTTGCAAAGCAACTTTCCATAATATACTGCATTTCTATGCACACTGTATCCCAATATTTCCATTTTTGTACATATAACTTGGCCGGAGAACAACACTGCAAAATTCGGAGAAGTGCAAATTTCAAAGGGTGGCTATGTTCCAGTCCTTGTATGGCTTGGGGAAGTGTAGATTTGGTAGGTTCAACTATAAATGAGCCAGTGTGGTGTAGTGTTAAGAGCAGTGGACTCGTAATCTGGTGAACCGGGTTCGATTCCCCGCTCCTCCACATGCAGCTGCTGGGTGACCTTGGGCAGGTCACACTTCTTTGAAGTCTCTCAGCCTCACTCACCTCACAGAGTGTTTGTTGTGGGGGAGGAAGGGAAAAGGAGATTGTTTGAGACTCCTTAGCGTAGTGATAAAGCGGGATATCAAATCCAATCCAAATCCAAACTGAATCAAATTTCTCTCCAATCTCTAGTTCAGAAACAATTAGCATTATTTGGCCACATTCTATACCCCCAAGAACAGACAGCTGTTTTTTGACCAGGGCAATGCCTATATTCAAACCCCAAATCCCGTAACACCCTGGTCAGCAAATGACTAGTACTAGGGCTCATAATTTCAATTTAACAAAAATGAAGAAGCAGCAATATTGACTCTGCCTATTATCTGAAACACTGGCGAAGGGCAACCTAATCTTTGGGATCCATTCATTCTTTGCTTAAGCGAGGCATAGGCAAACTCAGCCCTCCAGATGTTTTGGGAATATAACTCCCATGATCCCTAGCTAACAAGACTAGTGGTCAGGGATGATGGGAATTGTAATCCCAAAACATCTGGAGGGCCGAGTTTGCTTAAGCCTGGCTTAAGCTTTCCCAGGAGATCTTCAGCTTTTCAGAGAAAGTGTAAAAAAAGGGTTGGCGCATGCTCTCAACTTCTACGCCATTTCGAAACTAAGCAAAACAACTTCATTTTGTGAAATGGGAATGGGTAACACCGAAGCGATCACATCTCTAAGCACAGGAAAGATCTGCTTCAAATGAAGCTGGGGAGCACAGGTTTTCTGATTTCCCCGTCCTCCCAAACTGAATACAGAGGGAGAAGAAACTCAACATTTTTCATGGTCGTAGCTCCAAGACCGTAGCTCTGTGGTTGGACACAAGCTTGGCAGGTTCAATCCCAGTCTCAATCCCCAGCGCCTTCACGCAGCCGATGAAAAGATGCAAGTCTGAAACTCTATAGAGCGTCTGCCAGTCAGTGCCTGCGATACTGAGCTAGATGCACTAGGAGTCTAACTCAGTAGAAGCAGCTTCCCATGTGTCCCAGAAAGAAATGACGGCTGGGAGTCTAGAAAGCTGTTGTTTCCCATGACTCCCAGTTTAATTTGGGGGGCAGAGGAAACTAGAGTTGTGCTCCAGTGCTCAAGGCACATTGGGATGATTCAGGCATTGGTTGAGTCCAGTTGAGACAGCTATGGATCTCTGTGGGTCAGTTTGGATGGTCCAGTGTTATTTGGGACTGTCAGGAGGTGAGGTGTCAGACAGGAAGGAGAGGCAGGCGCCAGGTGGAAAAACCCATTGAAAAGGCCAAGACCAACCTTAACTGCTGGCTTTGTTTTCTGGGAGAAAGTAGGAACCAGACACCATCTGACTCTCCTTTTTGCCTGAGGTCCAGTCCCTGAAGGCACCAGTCCTGTGGCATGCAAGATGCTCTAATAATAATAATAATAATAATAATTTTTATACCCCGCCCTCCCCGGCCAGAGCCGGGCTCAGGGCAGCTAACAGCAGTAAAATCACTATAAAAACATAATGAGGGGGGCAATTTAAAATACGGGTTAAAATACAATTTAAAATGCAGCCTCATTTTAATAGTAGCCCATAGTTCAAAACCATAAGGGGAGGGAAACATAAGGGTCAGACTGAGTCCAAACCAAAGGCCAGGCGGAACAGCTCTGTCTTGCAGGCCCTGTGGAAAGATGTCAAGTCCTGCAGGGCCCTGGTCTCTTGTGACAGAGTGTTCCACCACGTCGGGGCCAGTGCTGAAAAGGCCCTGGCCCTAGTTGAGACCAATCTAACCACCTTGAGATTTGGGACCTCCAAAGTGTTGTCATTTGTGGACCTTAAGGTCCTCCGCGGGGCATACCAGGAGAGGTGGTCCCGTAGGTACATGGGTCCTAGGCCTAGATACCTCCCTTAAAACACGATATAAGAGTGAACTCAGAATCCTAAGAAGATGGTGTGTGTGTGTGATTGTGCATGTATTATAGTATTCTTACATTTCTCCTCTTTTTTTCTCAAGGTGGTGAATGTGGTTCTCCTCATTCATCCCACACCCCCTTATGACAGCCCTGTGAGGTAGGATGGACTGAGAGACAGCGACCGGCCCCAAATTCCCTGGTGAGTTTTAGAACTGAGTGGGGATTCAAACCCTGGTCTCCCAAGTCCTTTTCCAACACTCTAACCACTATACCACACTGCTTCTCTGTATATACATATACAACTGCTCCCTTTTTTGTTTTTAACTGTGCTCAGCAAAGGTATTCTCTTGGATGCATTTGCCCTGTAGAGAGAAGCTGGCTCCCTCGACTTTTATCATGTTTATTTAAGTTTATGCTTTGTTGCTCCAGTGCCCAATTTTAATTTGTATTTCCCCCCCCCCCTTTCTTATTCGTTTCCAGCATTCCTCTTTTCCTTTCACGAGGCTAGGGAGCTGAGCGGCGATTGTTAAGCAGTAGTTAACTTTCCCTTCCCCTACCCCCACCCACCCGCCGCCTTGTTATTATAGAAAATCCCCCCTCCTCCCAAACAAACAAATAAACAAACAAACAAACCGAAATAGGACTGTTCAAGCAGCTAATACAGGAAGATGTATCACTCGCCTGAATAATTGTGACAGGCATAGACCGTATCAGCGCCTGTTTGTTTGCACAATACCCAACTGTATTAAGAAAGCCATCGCAGCTGTCTTGGACTTTGGAGTTGCTCGTTTCATCACTTGACACTGCAGCAGATGTTATGGGTTGATAACGGACTCTACTTCATTCACTCCACATCTAAGATTACCTCTGGAGAGAGAGAAAATCAAATGCATTATAACACTCCCAGTCATTTGTTAAAAGAAGAAGAAGAAGAAAAACGGAGAGGGAGAGCACCAATTTATTCTATTACCCCCCGCCCCCAATGTAGGACTGGGACATCCATATGCATAAATGCAGCGTGTGGGTGCCCAAACCACGCGGCTGATACCCCAGGGGAAGGGAAGGAAATTGACCGCAGGCTTTGGGCCAGAAATCCTGCAATCCTTTTCTTTATTTTCCATGGCATGGGGGAGTCACTGGCAAGCGTTATTCTGCATTTGTAGGCAGAAAGGGCAAGCAAAAAAGTGAGCACTTTTAGAAGATGCTACCCAGATTCAGAGGGACACAGGTGGCACTGTGGTCTAAACCACAGAGCCTAGGGCTTGCTGATCAGAAGGTCGGCGGTTCGAATCCCAGCTATGGGGTGAGCTCCTGTTGTTCGGTCCCAGCTTCTGCCAACCCAGCAGTTCAAAAGCACGTCAAAGTGCAAGTAGATAAATAGGTACTGCTCCGGTGGGAAGGTAAACGGCATTTCCGTGCACTGCTCTGGTTCGCCAGAAGCGGCTTAGTCATGCTGGCCACATGACCCGGAAGCTGTCTGCAGACAAACGCCGGCTCCCTCGGCCTATAGAGCAAGATGAGCGCCACAACCCCAGAGTCGTCCGCAACTGGACCTATTAGGTCAGGCGTACCTTTACCTTTACCCTGATTCAGATCCCCAAGATATCCCACCCTGAAGATGTCACCCAAAAGTAGACACCTCTGAGATGTTCCGTATTAGGGTTGCCATGTGTCCTCTTTTTCCAGGACACATCCTCTTTTTCAAGTCTCTTGCCATGTGTCCTCTTTTTCCTGGAAACACCCTCTTTTTCAGGATTAAAATTTCTGTCCGGGTGAATTTTTAAAATTTGGCAAAATGTCTGAGGTTTTTCGTTTGGCTTATTTGTTTCCAGTAACCCAAGAAATTTTTTCTAGTGCATTAGACTCTAAGGCACCCGGCTAAGCTAGTCTGCAGCAGAGAATCACAACAGAGAAGCGTCTTAAACTAGCTGTACATACTGTATAAATCCCTTCTCTTGTGGCTGAACTAAAAGGATGCTAGCTCAGCTGCAAGATCTTGGAGAAGGAGCCTGAAAGGGCAGAAGTTAACATCCCCCTGCCCTTAAGCAGAGCCCATATGTACATTTTAAACAGTTTAATAAACTGTTCTTGCACACTTACGTTCACAAAGATGTGAACACGAGCCCAAATACTTTCATGTGGCAAGTGAGGGAGCAACATGTATTATTATTATTTTGTTGTTGAAAGTTAGGAACATTGCTACTAGCAATATGTCACAGCTCCTATAACCTACATATAGTAGGCGTATTTAAAATGAGGGTCGTCAAAGTGCTCTGTAATTAAAAGTAAAGGTAAAGGGACCCCTAACCTAATTAGGTCTAGTCACAGATGACTCTGGGGTTGCCACGCTCATCTCGCTTTACTGGCCGAGAAAGCCGGCGTACAGCTTCCGGGTCATGTGGCCAGCATGACAGAGCTCTGGTGAACCATAGCAGTGCACAGAAACGGTGTTTACCTTCCCACCGGAGCGGTACCTATTTATCTACTTGCACTTCATGCTTTTGAACTTCTAGGTTGGCAGGAGCAGGGACTGAACAATGGGAGCTCACCCCGTGGCGGGGATTTGAACTGCTGACCAAAGGCTCTCTGTCTCATCCCAAGTGCATGTGGGCTCACTTCCCTTAGGTGTGCTTTTCTGGTGCAGAGCATGGCATACATGTTGCTTGTGGGGCAAATTACGGCGGGATTTGCACTGGCTGCCAGTCTGCTCCCAGGCCAAGCTCAAGGTGTTGGTAGTAATATATAAGCTCAAATACAGCTCGGGACCAGGTTACTTGGGATATGGCACTATCCCTTATATGACCTGTAGATCACTGTGGTCAGTGGGAGAATTTCTCCTGCAAGTTCCAAAGATCTCCAAAGCCTCTTCTGCAGTTGCTCAGAGCAGGACTTTTAATGCGGCTGCCCCTCTTCTGCGGAATTGCCTTCCTCTTTAGATACCAGAAGCATCCACTTTCCCCAAACAATTGAAGACTTTTGTTGTTGTTGTTGTTCTGACAAGTTTTTCCAGCTAAATAAATGGATCGTTGCAACATGTGTCCATTTCCTGGGGTTTTAGTCTTGTTTTACATGTACAGTGGTACCTCGGGTTACAAACACTTCGGGTTACAGACGCCGCTAACCCGGAAGTAGTACTTTGGGTTAATAACTTTGCTTCAGGATGAGAAGAGAAATTGTGCGGTGGCAGCGGGGCGGCAGCGGGAGGACCCATTAGCTGTACCTCAGGTTAAGAACAGTTTCAGGTCAAGAACGGACCTCTGGAACGATTTAAGTTCGTAACCAGAGGTACCACTGTATTCACTGCAGGGGGGTGGATTAGACGGCCCCTTCCAACTCTGCTGTTTTACCATTCTTTGATTTGTTACTTCTGTGTTTTTAACTGATTTTTATAATTTTATGATTATCGCTTTGTGACATTGGTTTAAATGTAAAGGTAAAGGGACCCCTGACCGTTAGGTCCAGTCGTGGCTGACTTTGGGGTTGTGGCACTCATCTCACTTTATCGGCCGAGGGAGCCAGCGTACAGCTTCTGGGTCATGTGGCCAGCATGACTAAGCCGCTTCTGGTGAACCAGAGCAGTGCACAGAAATGCCATTTACCTTCCCGCCAGAGCAGTACCTATTTATCTACTTGCACTCTGACGTGCTTTTGAACTGCTAGGTTGGCAGGAGCAGGGACCGAGCAAAGGGAGCTTACCCCTTCGCGGGGATTCGAACCACAAACCTTCTGATCAACAAGTTCTAGGCTCTGTGGTTTAACCCACAGCGCCACGACATTGGTTTAGAAGGTGATTAAAAACTCAGTGGTAATCGTTGTTATGTATTGAGTGGTCTGTGTTTGCCTGAGCTTGAGTCTGAACTAAGGATTTTGAGTTCCTGTGTTCTGATTCGATACTTGTTGTCCAATCACAGAACATTTCAGGATTTGGTCCTCTGCCATTGGCCCTTGAACTCTGAGTCGTGATTCTCAGTTTAGACCACCAGTCACGTTGGGAGTGGGATTGGCCCATGCTTTCAGAAATGTACATAAGTAGTTGCTTTGCCCCTGTTTCCCAGTTATGTAGTTCAATAAAGGGTCTGGCTGTTATCACTGTGCATTGCCTGATGGGAACCCACCTACGCTTTAATAATAATAATAATAATAATAATAATAATAGAAATAGATCTTATGGGACATGCCTAGCTATCACCCCACCATGAGTTCCCACTGAGAAAGCATTGCCCGTTCATTCTGGGCTATTAACCAGTGACCCACCTGATATATGAATGGTTGGGCAGAAATAGTAACATGATGGTGCCAGTAAGGAACATCTAGGGATAGAAAGGAATTCTCACTGGCATGTCCCAATCTCTAATTCTCCTAGATGATGACTTTGGGTTGTATCGAGAATAGCAACGAGGAATACATCTGCCAGTGCAAGGATCCCGCCATTCTCCCCCCATCTGTTCTATGGGTTCCCCCAACCCTCCAGAGCAGATCTGATGAGGGCAGGGGATGGAAAGTCCCACCGTGCAGAAGAAACCCTTGTGCTGATAGGACCCATTTGCCATTTGCTGCCCTTAGAGTCTAGAGGGGATTCTGAGCCCCGCCGACGGCAGGCTGAAGGCAGAGAGGAGGCTTCCTTGCCGAACGTATCATGAATCATTAATACGGAGCCTCAATGAGTCCTCTCAACTGAGAAAAAATGCAGAGAATTTTCATTATGCCAACTCAAAGTCTCCAATTCATTTTGTCTACAGTAACAAGACATGCAAGAGTAAGCTACTGTAAGCAATGTTTCAAAAGTTAATATCTACCCTATTATTCTTTGTGTGTGTTTCCTAGAAAGAATGTTAGTTTTTCTTTCTATTAAATACATATTCTGTTAGCTCATTAACTTTCTATTATTATTATTGTATGCCTTCCCCGTGCTGTGCTCGGCTCTCCATCTTGCTGGTATAAATCAGGCAGGAACCCAAAAATCCACGCCGATATTTCGCTTTAGGCAGAATTAGCTGGCAACTCTGCTCCTTGGGCATTCTTAAGCTTGCCCACTTCATGGAGAAAGCCCAACTTAGATTCCCAGCCAAAGGGCAAATGACATCCATGGTGCACATTGCTTGTGATGTCACCAAATTTCCTAATCCCTTGGCTCAGAATATGGCCCCAGTGACTCGTTTTTTTAAAAAGTCTATTGAATTACTCTGAACTTCACTGTTGTAATTATATTGTGCCTGTTGTTTTTAAGATGTGCTTTTATATTTTAGTGAATATTTTATTACTGTTATTTAAAGAGTCTCCAAGCAACTTGTAACATTATTTGTATGTATGTGTATGTGTGTGAAAATACATTATAAACACATTCACACGAACACTCGTGCAATTTATATACAGTGGTACCTCGGGTTACATACGCTTCAGGTTACAGACTCCACCAACCCAAAAATAATACCTTGGGTTAAGAACTTTGCTTCAGGATGAGAACAGAAATCGCGTGGCGGTGGCGCAGCAGCAGCAGGAGGCCCCATTAGATAAAGTGGTGCTTCAGGTTAAGAACAGTTTCAGGTTAAGAACGGACCTCCAAAACGAATTAAGTACATAACCAGAGGTAACACTGTATTAAAAAAAACCACAAAGTTTTACAGAACACTAATTGTTGTTGTGATGGTGGTGATGTATATAATAATAATAATAATAATAATAATAATAATAATAATAATTTATTTATATCCTGCCCTCCCCAGCCAAAGCCAGGCTCAGAGCGGCAAACAACAGTAAAAATAACACAGTTTGCATAAAATCACAATCAATTAATTGAAATACATTCTAGAATCAATTCATTCTAAAATCAATTCAAAATCAAATTAATG